GTCCCAATGCTAGCAAGCGCAGATTGGATTACCAATTTGTTTGGAACCTTTGAAATTGCTTGCAAGGATCAGCAAGGTGAAAATGTGTTCATGCAAGCCGGAACTAGGGTTTCCATTAAGGAGTTGGGGGACATAAAGTTTCTGATTGACAGGGTTGTGAATGAGATTGATTCACTCTTGTTCGCTCCAAGCTCCACAATTAAGGAGCAAATAGATTTCACAATGAAGGATATTAAGCTTAAGCTGGAAACGTTTATGAGGGAAATTGAGACTTTGCAGGAGGAAGCAAACAAATGCACCTCTGAAATACTCAAGGCAAGGGATAAGGTTGCGAAGAGCATCAAATTTCTCAACAACAAATAAATTGAAGGTACTTTTTTTTTAAAATCAAGACTAGCAAGGAGATCTACCCCTCTTTCCAAGAAAAAAAAAAAAAAAAAAAAGAAGAAAAAAGCAATCTGTATAGAATAAAATTTTCAAAAAAATTGCGGTGTGTAGTGCCACATCATCTTTGGTTGCTTTTGTTTGTACTAATGCTAGTACTGTTCCCCGTAAATTTAGGTCACATTAATATAGCCCTTGCAATTCAAAAACTCTATACCATAACCCACCAATAATAAAACCTTTAAGTAAAATTCAATTTTAAAAGAGTTAACTGGTGATTTGTCCCCTGAACTTGTACTTAACTTTCGATTAACCCTCTATCTTTTTTTCTTTTAGAAAATTAAGGATATGACTTTTTTTTTATTTCTCCAATTTCCCCCTTACCGTCTAAATCATCAATATTTCATCCAATTTTCAGTTACATCATTTAAAAAAATTATTTTTAATTTCACTTTTAATTTCTGTTTTTAATAAATTTTTTTTTTTAAAAGGAAGAAAGAAAAATAAAATCTACATGGGAATATTCATTAATTGACATGGCATCACCACATCAGCTGTCACATAAGGTGATCAGCAAATGTGGTCAATCTTGTGTGTCTAAATAACATTACTCAATTGAGAAACATTCTAAAGAGTACCAACGTATATTTTATTTATTTTTTTTTTAAAGAGAGGAAAATTTGACTTAAAAATCCCTAAATCTATGCAAAATTGAAGTACCATTAATGTGCACATTGGTAAACACTAATTAGGGGTATTTTTGGAATCTGAAAAAGAACAATAAATAAGATAATCAAACGTAAAATATGAGGTTAAAAAGTAAACAGAGGTCACCAAAAGTTTGGGGGGGTTCCACTGGTTCCTTGGTTGACATCCTTGTCAATTACAACAAACATTTTTCTTATAGGATATCTGGGTCATGAAGCTTTTGAAAGATTTGGAATCTGCATCGTGGTAATGCTTATTTACTATGTCTTCTTCGGTCTACATGCAACTTATGATATATATGGCCCATAAACAGACAAGCCAGAATCCCTGAAAGTTGATGACAACAACATTAGAGAGAAGGCAGAGCCTTGAAATCACAGTACCGTCTGAAAGGAATGCCTCTTCAGTTTCATTTTACGTTATGAATAAGCAACTAGTTTTGAGAACAAATTATTCTTAATGTGACAGTAAACAAAACTATACTACTTGCAGCAGTGTCGTTATTAAAAAATAAATGAATATCAGATGTCAAAATAATATTTGGTTTTGGATACGATAATAGAATGCAAGCTGAGTACATATGAAAAATTAAAACAAATGCATTAATCTGTGTACAAAAGTTCAAATTCAAATATGGCGAGCAGGGTGTACTTATTATTACATTTGTTTCACAATTCAATATATCCTTTTTGTTAATTTTATATTAGAGTAAATTAGTAATTCAATAAATAGTTTGGTAATAGGGTGTACTCAGTTAATTTTAAGGTTCGTTTAACACTACCCTATTTTCTTTCGTTGTCGATTCATTGACTTTCCTCTTTCGGGAGTATTTTTACTCACCACTTTAACCCAATGTGTACCCTCACCACCCTTATCAACATTTGACACGTGTCTATTGACATAACTATAGTTCCATAAATATAAAGTAAAGAGTTAAATATAGTTATGCCAATGGACATGTGTCAGGTGTTGAGAAGAGTGATGAGGATACACTTTGGGTTAAAATGGTGAGCAAAAATATAGTATTAAGTACTCAAGCAGCATATATATATCATAAAGTATTGTTAATGATTTTGTGAGATTAGGAAAATTAACAGCAGTTAAAGTTACGATTACGCAAGTACTGTGAAGTCAAGTTTGAATAAGACCACACAACGATGAATGAGAGGGAAAAATCACACTGTGAAGTCAAGTTTGAATGCTCTCCTCCCTTCTCAGTAATCTATAAGCCTGTTAAGAGGATCTCTTCATTAAAGGATTATCTACTGCACGTTGATAAAGGAATCAATACAAACCCAACCCATGTATTTGAATTGATGAATTGCGGCCCAATTTGCATTTATTATTTATTTTTCGTGACTATTTTGCTCTTGAAGATAAATAATAGAAACAAATTAAAAGTCATTGATTTAAAGCATTACTCTTAAATTTTAAATTTGAATTTTAAGCATTTATGGCTTTATAAAAAAAAAAGGTTGGTATTGTAAGTATAATGCACATAAGATACATTAATCTACCTTGTCCAAAAGATCAAAATGAAGAACATGTCACATGAAGAAAATATGCATGAGCAGAAATATAAAATTGCGTTACCTTTATAGGAAGACAAAAAATTCGAAAAATCGTATCCCTCTTTGTTAGGTAGACTACCTCACACTTGAACCTATTTGGCAGGTAGTTTCTATATATTTGGGGACGTTTGCATCACCTACACAACATGTATCAAAACCACCATGTATTACCTATGCACCCAATATCATACCCCCAAATAAAATTCAACCTCCCCAAACATGTAAACAAATGAAGACAACAACATGTTGTTCTAAGAACAAACCAAATGAAAAACCCACCTTTGAACACACCAACGCCAAGTTTAAGTCTTCACACCATATTAAATCACAATTGACCCAAGAAATTCTCTGTCACCATGCCATGAATACTAGTACTATGAACAATAATACCTCTATAAAGTTTTCATGAGTTGGGATGATATTCTGTCCCCCCCCCCCAAAAAAACCCACACACACACCTTATAAGAAAAAAGAAAAAATACCAAAAGTTTTGGTCCCTATAGTTTGGCACTTAAACTATTTTTGACCCTGTAGTTTCAATTCCATCAATTTTGCGATTATAGTTTTGTATTTGTAGCAATTCAATGACATATTAGTATTCTTGTCAATTTCTTTAATGATGCTAGGGGCAATTTCATCAACCCAAAACCCTTGAGCATAAAAGCTTGTCTAAAATTCTCCCTATTTCATATTAGGGCTCAAAATTCAATCACTAATCCCACTTTTTGAAGAACCCAAAACCCAAATGACCAATTTCAAGCCCTAATATGAAATTATGGGAGTTTCGGACGAGCTTTTATGCTCCAGAATTTTGGGTTGACAAAATTGCCCCTTGCACCGTCAAAGAAATTGATAGGAATACTAATTTGTCCTTGAATTGCTACAAATACGAAACTACAGAGTCAACATTGATGGAATTGAAACTACAGGGTCAAAAGTGATTGAAGTGTCAAACTATAACGACCAAAAGTAACTTTTAGTCAAGAAAAAAGATACAAACTTGAAATATGGCTAGCACTCGTCCTATGCAATCTCTTCATTTTAAAATGACAATTATTTAAAAAGTCAAGTAATAATTATTGATCTAAATATTAGTTTCTTTCCCCTTTTTATTCCTATAAATAGCATTAAATCATACATGAAATGTAGTTGGAATCATAAATAGGGTAACAAAATAAAAAACTATATAGGGTAATATAGGAATAATTTTTTTTTTTTTGACTAATTGGAGCCATAAATAGTAGTTGACCCATCCATGGTAAGTTTACTAGGGTTAATAAATAGAAAATGAGTTTATATTGAAATGTTATAACACGTAAGTTATTCCTAAGACTTTTGGGTTTACATCTAATTTTCTATCTATTTAATTTGCTGACAAATATTAACACTATTTTCAGTTTTCTTGACTTAAAAGAAAACTATAAACACCTGATAGCCCTTGTTGCAGTATATGTTTGTCTCAATTCTCAACCATTCGGCAAAATATGCTCTCTCTTTTTTTGGCCCGGATGATAAATCCTACAAATTGGGTTGGGAGGTGGCTTGGTAAAATATGATAAGAGCAATGCAGTTGGAGTCAAAGATCATTGTAACAATTTTTTATTTGGGAAAAGACAATCGGAAGCCAAGCTTGTCGTATACATGGTTTTCTTCTCACTACAAGCCCCACTTTCTTATGCATATAAAATGTTACGAGGCCTGCCAAAACGATTTTACATTCAGAAATTATTAACTTCGCCTGCCTTTTTTGTCTGTTCTCTTAACAAGAAGTGAAAACAAGATTCAAGAAGAATTAGAGCAACCAAAGATGATATAAAAGCAGCAACCAGTTGAACTTTCCAAATGTTCATTAAAGGAGTCGATGTTCTTCGGTGTTCTCATCAGCAACCAGACCAGGTTCTGTTTGTACCAAAATATGAAAAAACGGTTGAACAGCTTCAAAACTTTTGATGGCGCACGCTTTTGTTTAGAATTCTAAGTGCAGAAAATTAGATCATAATTCTTGAACAAGTTCAGTTGTTTTGTATTCATTATGGATTTCGGACTTGTGTGTTCGTTTCCTTCTTAATTTCATCAAGTATATTTTTATTGATTACTTAAATTTGTGTTCGTTTCCTCTCTTAACATCCATATTGCATGAAGGAGGAAAGCGGTGTCCTTTTAATACACCTATTTTTCACAAAATACCAATTGTAATATATATACCTATAGCTTTTTTGTTTTTGCTTCATCACTTTTTCTTCTAATTGTTCCTTTATAATTTACATTGATGAGACAATATTTTGCTGATAAATGCTTTTGGGGATTTCAGTGAAAGAGAAAATGCCTCTAGCAAAAATGGGAAGCCTTGAAACATTCCGTGCTAATAAGACTGCAATCTGCACAACTTCTTTGAGGCCATGCACTAAGAACAACAGGAAGCGTGATGCGCAGTGGATGATGATATCATATCAGGAAGCTCGCGAAGCTGATGCAGACTTGCAATCTTTGGACAACGCCCTCAAAACCCGCACCACAGCAGTCATCAACGCCCTTGCAGACGATGGCCTTTCAACTCGTTTTCTGAAACAAGTCACAGATTATGTGCGCTATCTGAGCCAGGAGAGCTCGGGAGCAGTCTTGGGACGACGCAATACGTTTGGGAGCATGAATCTTAACAGTAGCAATGAGGAAAGCTTCAAGCTTCTCGTGGACGAGTACATGAACAACAGTTTGCAAATGCTCAATTTCTGTTCTGAATTAGATAGATTCCTAAAGCAAGCTCGTAACACGCATTCGTATATTGAATATGTAACTCGAGAGTGCTTTGAGAAGGAGACTGCAATGGGGACAAGCCAGTACAAGATGATTTCAAAGAGGTTGAAGAATCTCAGAGCCTCTGAGGATGTCTCTGGCCAGTATTCTTCTGCTGGGAGGCTGCTTGAAAAGGTTGTGTGTCTGCGCAGGCAGCAGGAACAGATGCTTGAAAAGTTGAAAGTTCAAAACGAGAAGCTTGGGAAGAAGGAGAGCCGTGCTCGCTCTTGGCGCAAGCTCACGATGATGCTGTTCATCATGGCCGTAGTTGGTTTGCTTATTTCCATTATTGTGACGGCGGCTTTGGCTATTCCATCTGTTGCGCCAGCTCTTGGAGCTGCTATCGTCCCGATGCTAGCAGGCGGAGATTGGATCACCAATTGGTTTGGTAAATATGAAACTGCCTTTAAGGATCAACAGGAGGAAAATGTGGCCATGCAAGCCGGAGCTAGGGTTTCCATTAAGGAGTTGGGGGACATAAAGTTTCTGATTGATAGGGTTGTGAATGAGATTGATTCACTCTCGTTTGCTCCAAACTCCACAATTGAGGAACAAATAGATTTTACAATGAAGGATATTAAGCTTAAGCTGGAAACGTTTATGAGGGAAATTGAGACTTTGCAGGAGGAAGCGAACAAATGCACCTCTGAAATACGTAAGGCAAGGGATAAGGTGGTGAACAACATCAAGTTTCTCAACAAAAAATAATTTGAAGGTACTTTTTTTTTATCAAGACAAGCAAGGAGATCTACCCCTCTTTCAATAAATAAATAAATAAATAAACAATTTGTATAGAATAAAGTTTTCCAAAATTTTGAGGTGTACGTGGTGCCATCATCTTTGGTTACTTTTGTTTGTACTAGTGCCATACTGCTCCCCAGTAAATTTTACTTTTTCAAGTGAATTTCCATTTGAGAATTAATCTTTCCATCGTTGCTGCTTCATTGACTTTCCTCTTTCCATGGTAATAAATTAAAGGGACATTTTGGAAAAAGCAAAAGGAGAGAGAAAAATTTTAAAATAAGCAAAAATGGACAAAAATACCCTTATTTATTTTTAGATTTCCTAATGAATCCAATACATTTGCATGTCTTTGATTTGAAAGTTGAGTGGTTTTTTTGTCTTTTTTGAAAAAGCTTTGGCTTTTTCCAAAAGTGAAATTTTTTTTATGTCTAAAACCTAAAAAACCTTAAATATTAAAGTTGGCAATTGGTGGAATTAGCAGAAGAAGAAAAAAAAACATGAGCCTCCTTAGGGGGCGTTTGGTATTGGACTTGACTCCAAGAGTGAGAAGGTACCAGAGAAGGTAAGCATGAGCTTATTGTAGGACCAGAAACTACGTTCTGTTGTATAGTAAATCAATTTGGAAGATGCAATCCCCTGTCTCTTTGTCCTCCCACTGTTTTTTCAGATCTTAAAATAATTTTGAAGTTCAATACCAAATAAGTTTTTAGACCTTAAAATCAGTATTTGAAAACTTATATATTTTTTTAAAAAATAATAATTTTTTAGTTGAATTTTTTGAGTAGGATACCAAACCACCCCTTAACATCCAAAAGTATTTTCCTAAAGCACTCAAGCAGCTAGGATATATCTATCATAAAGTATTGTTAATGATTTTGTGACACTAGTAAACCAGGTAAAAGAGACGTCAAACCCCTTCTAAGGGAGAAGGGTATGCCATCTTATATACTAAAGTGGGAGTCTGATTCTTTCACAGCCAGGCGACCGACCGACCTACCCTTTGGCTAACCTGGGCTATATAGCCCAGGGGACTTTGTCTTTTTTCAGCCTAAACAAATATACCCAAAAGCACAGCCAATGGACAACCATGCGCCTTGTGGATACTCCATTGTTATGAGCCTATGACTTTCTGTTTTGTTTCCACACATCACACTGCGAATAACAAAAATATATGGTAACTCGTTTTGTTTTTGACTTTTTTTTTTTTTTTGGTTGCAATTTTGCACTATAACAAAACATGCTAGAAACACTAAGACACTACAAGAACGACGACAAAACAATCTACAATTTAACTAAAACATAACTAGAAAAATAAAAATAAACTATCAAATTAACCCCCCAAAAAAAAAAAACTAAGAAACAAAAAACTAATATCAAGTAAAACTCACAGTAAAAAAAGTATAAACTACAATGCAATTACTATTCATAACGAAGCATATCAACAACACTAAGAAACTATAAGAACCATTTCAAATACAATGCTCAATCTACAATCTAAAAAAAAATTAACTAGAACAATAACAATAAATAAATAAAAACAATACTATCAAGTTTATGTTTTTTTTTAATTAAAAAATATAAACTCTTAGTTAGAACAAGATGTTATATAACACTATATTATCTCAAAACAAATTGGTTAGAACATGATGCTAATATCTACTGTTATTGAAATGGCAACTCTAATTCATTTTGTAACCAAAACTGCACCAAACCAGGAACTCAAATAAAATTGTAAAGCAACAAAAAGGCAAAAGCCATGATCAAAGTACTAAAACTAATTTAAATGAACATATAGCTTCAAAATCAGACAGACTTCTTCTAAAAATCCAATCATCATCAAGGCTTAATAAATTCAACTTAAACAATTAAGCGGCAACTACAATAGCAAATCAACAAACAAAAAAGCAAAGCAATTATGAAAACAAGTAATTAAACAAAATCAAAAAAGGCATATCCATTTATGACACAATTGTATAATTTCCATTAAATTCAAAAATTATATCAATATCCAATGATAAAATAATTTAGCTATTTATATTTAAATGAAAACTGTAATGCAGTGTGGAAAATCCCTGTTGGAAAATTCAGCTTTCCCATTGCTCATGCTCAGAGCCAAACCTCCCAGTCCCAATTCCGTAATTCCAATCCAACAGAGACTTATCCGTCAACGCAGACAAGTCTGTCAAACCTGTCTCGTCCGCCATAAAAATACCACAAACCAAACTCACATAGACTTATATTTCCAGCAAAATTATATTGCAGAATTGGAATTTAGAAACTGCAGGGAAATCATATCCATTATTCCTTATACCTTAGCTTAATTCATTATCATGAGCACATCACCACATGCTAAGGAATGAGTAACAAGTACAGGTTAATATTTTAAATTAATTACTGAGTAAATTGCCATACACCCCAAAATTAAGACCCCAATCGAACTTAACTCTCCAAACTAAAAAGTCAGTCAATTTAGGAATAATTTTAGAAATTTCACCTGAACTTATACATCAGTTTCAATTTGTCACATTAAAGAAAAATTTAAGCGAAATGTCACCTTAAGTTTGCAAAATGCATGATTCGTCGCCTGACTTCAACATCATCTAATTTTCCATCTTCTTTGAAGGGTATTTTAGTCTTTTCAAGCAAGAGGGTTTACATAGCTTTATATTTAAATTATATTTAAAAAAAACAAGGTTTACATATTGGAAAGACTAAAATACCCTTCAAAATGGATGGAAAATTGGATGATGTTAAAGTCAGGCGACAAATCATGGATTTTGAAAACTTAAGGTGACATTTTGCTTAAATTTTTCTTTAAAGTGACAAATTGAAAATGATGTATAAGTTCAGGTGACATTTCTACAAAAATCCCGTTAATTTAATACTTGAATTAATTCAAATGGCAAATTTAGCCTTTGCATTTTAAGTTTTGTGAATTTCATCCAATTTTTCGTTAAATATAAGAGTAAACATAGGATATGTGAATAATGCAACAAAGCAACACCAAGATAAATTAGGAGTCACTACCCTCTCAACAAGTTGGCCTTCAACTTTTCAAAGGTGGTACATGGGGAGAGAGGAGTGAAAGAGACGGGGGAGAGGGGAAGAGACGGGGAGAGAAAGTAAGTCTTTTTTTTTCTTTCTATTTTATAACAATTTTAGTTTTTTTATAATAAAAATAAAAATAAAAAGTCATGTGGATGAGGATGACACATATTTTTGAACGAAAAATGGATGAAATTCGAAAAAATTAATGGTAAGAAGTAAATTGGCAATTTTAATTAATTCGGGGCTAAATTGACTTATTTTAGTTCAAAAGATTAATTTTTATAAGAGTCGTAATTCGGAGGTAAAACGGCTGCAAATCCTTAAGAGCACTTCCACCAGTTAGCCCCTTGCCATGGCAAAGGGAGCCCTAGGGTGGCTACTATTCATGTGAATAGTGGCTGCCCTAGCACACACAAAAAATTATGTTTCCAGCAGTGCAAGGCTTGCCATGGCAAATTGTTCGGGCCAAAAATTGACACCTCCAGCCCAAGGCCCATCAAAACAAGCAAGGCTGATTTGGGCCTCACAGGCCCAACATAATAGGAAGAGGGAGTCCAGACCAGAAGAGGGATAAGCAGGAAAGTAGGGAGTTGTCCAGAAAAAGAATCAAACTGACCATCACGGGTAAAATATCACAAGGGGCAGCTGAAAAACAGGGAAGTGATCGCCTATCCGAGAACTTATCTGCCAAAATTGAAGAAGAAGAGGAAAATGGGGGAAAATATCTTTGCCGTCCAATAAAAAAACACAATCACCCTACTCCAGAGAAGAAACAGTTTTTCTATAAATACAAGAAGGAGTGAACAGGGTAGAGGACACTCAAAAAACCAAAAAATCAATCAAAAACAAAAACTCAAAATGACTTCAAAACACTGAAGCAACCAAAGCTCATTGAGCCAAGACACAAACAAACAACTCAACCAGAAGCTCACTTGAATTCCAAGTGAAAACCAGCTTTAGATTAGAATTCCCAAGGTTCAGACTTAAAAAATAAGTCATTCAAATTTCACAGTGCAGTCTCTAGCCCACTGAAGTCCTCGAGAACAGCCACTTCTGCCCAAGAAGCCGCAGTTCTGCCCACTCAGAAGCTTCACAAAAGCTTAAAGTACATTGAAGCTCTGCCAGAATCAACCTTTGGTATCGATTTAAAGTTGAAACTTAGCAATCAGAGTTGTCAACATTCCAGTCCAGCCCGGACATTTCCAGTCCAGCCCAGAACAGAGCCTCCCATCCAGGCAGAAATGGAGTTCCAATTGTATCTTCATCTCTCTAGCATGAGTATTTATTGTTATAGTTTTGTAAAAGGCAGTTCTGCCTAAAAAAAGTTTAAATTCCACCAGTTCTGCCTAAAAACAGTTTAAATCCCATCAGTTCTGCCTGAAACAGTTTAAATTCCATCAACCATTCTGGCCAGAACAGCCTGTTTATACTGAGATAAATTGTTAAAGTCCTCACCCGTCTGAGGCAAGAAAAGAACTTACTTGGGAGATATTCCTCACCCAAATTCACAATCGTTTGTTTGCAGAAATCAGTAACTTGGGGCGCAAGTTATCTACTCCAAACTAAGTCTGCTAGAATTTGTATTGCTAGCAGCACGCTCGCACACCAAAGAAAGCTGACTTGTCAACCAGTTTATGGTTCTCAAGGCAATGGGGAACTTTGCCCTTCCATCACAGGAGTGAACGCAAAACGGG